TGGCTCTGATATTAGCCAGATGCGTGACCTGCATAATCCACCCAGGCCAGGCCTCTTTCGGGAAGGAGAGGGACGTTATATTGATGAAGAGAGAGGGAGCGTGATCTAATTGTTACGTGACTTTATGGTAAACTGAACTCTGCACTCCCCAAAAACCAAGTTAGAGAGCCTCATGACTCAAGAAAGGTTTAGTGTAGGTTTATTGCCATCTTTGGAGATAGGGAACATTAGCTGTGGTCATAAAGAGGGCTTGTTACAAGATAAACTGGTCAGGAGAACAGAGATGGCTTATCTGATCCTGACTGCAACAAAGGGGCAGTTATGAAACACGGTGTCGGGGTTGCATCTGTCCATATTTCCCTGGTAGCATTCCAGTTAAATGCTTAAAAATAATGAGATGATGCTTTTTAATCAATTTGTTTTACAGTTTGTAGGCTGTTACTATACGGGCTTTGGGAAAGTTGTCCCACATTCTTAAAATATCTATACAACACTCCGAGAAAAATTACTAATGCCGCTGTCACAGATAAGTTACTAAAACCGTACGAATTAACGTCGAGGCAGCAATCGAGGTTTGAAGCGAGATCGCTTATTCTATTTGTTGCAATTCTGTGGCAGTTTGCCAAGATATTTTTAACAGGGAACTCTAGGATTTGCCAGAGTTAAAAATGTCTGGGCTTATTTGATCATTTCACAGCGATGATAAATAGCCACCAAGACAGCAGCGAACACGTCTAACTAAATAAAGGAATGAGCGGGAGAGAGAGAATGCCTCCAGGCTCAGGTGGTGGGCCAGATCCCAGGTTGCTGACTTACTATCAGGCCTGATGGCTATCGCACCACCGCTGAAAATTCACATGTGAGAGTTGCAACACAAGGAATGACCTGATGTCCCACAGCTGAAGCAACTTGTACCCACATTGGGACGGTCTCTTGTGTGGCGGGGCCGGTCACATTGCTCACCGTCCACAGAGCTGTAGCAGTAAGCGCCATGCGTGAGCTCCTGCGCTCTTTGGTGCTTTGAGTAAACAAGTTCTGGTTGGTGGACAATGTCCCATGTTAAGCCTTCAGAATGCTTGTAGAGTGTCCTAGACAAACCACATTTAAGGATCTCCTCCTCAGAAATTGAAAGTTTGTTTTGGAAGATGGTTTCTTAAAGCCTTTGGATATTTGAAGCAGTGTTCAAGCTCACGTTTAACTGACAAACATTTGCTAGTGTAGATTCTGCAAAATAAGAATAACGTACATTCACCTGTCTGTGTGTCGGCCTGTAGCATAGTACTTTACCTACACTTTCTCATTATTCTTTACAACAACCCTATAAGATACATGGCGTTATTATGTGTGTTTTGCAGAGGAGATGAGAACAGAAAACTTAGACTAAGAAAGGTTAACTTACCCAAGGTCACACAGCAAGGAATGGCTCTAGCCGTTCAAGCTCTGGCCATCTGACCGAGTGCTTTTATCTACTGGCCTAAAAAGCCACTGTTAGCACATACCAGCATCAGTACTACCATAGAGGCAACACAAGATGTGAAATACTCAGGCATAAACGTCACCAAAAAATGCATGGGGTAATATAAAAAGAAATTGTTCAAATTTTAATTGAGGGACATAAAAGATTTAAACAATGGAGAGGGACATACTGTGTTCCTGAATGAAAGACTCAACAACTTAAAAATTATCATTTCAGATTCAACCCAGTCTCTTAAAGGTCCCAAGGAAGGTTTCATCTGGAAGAATAACTGGGCACAAATAGCCAGGACAATTCAAAAAGAAGGAAGATGAGCAATAGTGAGATGAGCGGGTATTTGCAGGGAACATGCTCCAATAATTAACTATGTACACTCAGAACCAAACAAGAAGTATTAATGGAATAGAATAGAATATTCAAAAACAGCCTCAAGTATATGTAAACATTTAATATATTATAAGAGTTGCATTTCATAGCAAGTGGATTATTCAATAAATAGTCTTGGGACAACCAACTAACATTTAGGGGAAAATTTTAGAACTCTGCCTCGCATTTTAGATTAAAATAGACTCCAGATAAGTTTCAATGTTAAAAAGAAAGAAAAAAATCCAGAAAAAATATAGGTCAATATTATTAGAACTTTAAGGTGGAGACTAATTTGAAAGTGTGACACACAGTCAGAAACCATATCAGAAATAGAGTTAACTGCATTAAAAACTCAAATTTTCTGTACTTCAAAAACACAGTAAATAAAATTAGAAGGAAAATGATAAACTGGGGAAAAATATTTGCAATATATATAATGAACAAAAAATTATTATTCTTAGTTCCCAAACCAATAAAACATGTAATTGTCCCATTTTTTTTTTATTATTTTTATTTTTTTTTGTGAGGACGATCAGCCCTGAGCTAACATCCGTGCTAATCCCCCTCCTTTTTTTTTGCTGAGGAAGACTGACTCTGAACTAACATCTATTGCCAATCCTCCTTTTTTTATTCCCCAAAGCCCCCACAGATAGTTTTATGTCATAGTTGCACATCCTTCTAGTTGCTGTATGTGGGACGCGGCCTCAGCACGGCCGGAGAAGCAGTGTGTCGGTGTGCACCTGGGATCCAAACCTGGGCCGCCAGTAGCGGCGCACGCACTTAACCGCTAAGCCACGGGGCCGGCCCCTAATTGTTCCATTTTAAATATGAGCGAACAATATCAATAAGCAATTCAGCAAAGAAGAAATTAAAATTACCAACAGAGCTTTGAAAAAAATGTTTATTCTTCCTAGTAATAAAAAAAAGTTGTCAAAGAAAAAGTAAAGGTAAATATGATACTATTTTCACCTATTGGATTTAAAAAAAAATGAAAATAATAATATCCAGTACTGGAGAGGATGTGGGGAAAAGGATATTTCCCAAAAGGAAAGTGTTGGGAGAAGGTAAATTGCACAAAATTTCTAGGGAAGGAGGATAATTTCACAATAGGGTAGTCAAGCTTTAAAATGGCATACATTTTAACCTAGCAATTCCTTTTCTAGATATTTATGCAAAGATTAACAATTGGAAGTGTGCAAAGATGTAGCAATTTTATAATAAATAAAAACTAAAAATTGGAAATAGCCTAAATGTTTAACAGTGAGGATATGGCTAAAAAAAAAATTTGAGGGGGGTGGCTGGCCCAGGGGCATAGTAGCTAAGTTTGGTGCACTCAGCTTTGGCAGCCCAGGTTCGTGGGTTCAGATCCCGGGCCTGGACCTACACCACTCATCAAGCCATGCTGTGGCGGTGACCCACATATAAAATAGAGGAAGATTGGCACAGATGTTAGCTCGGGGCAAATGTTCCTCACCAAAAAAAAAAAATTTTTTTTGGTGTAGTGAGATGATGCAATGCTCTGTAGCAACTAAAAAGGTATTGTATGTTTATTAGCAAGGAAAGATGTCTGCATGTAAATGAGAGTGAGAAAAGCAGATTACAGCACAATATGTATAATATGATCCCATTTTTGTACAAAAAGAATATATATCATTATCATAGAAAAAAGCTTAGATAAATAAATACCAAAATGTTAACCATAGTGAAAGTGTTAGTATTTTTGTTTTGCTTATTCATATTTTCTATTTTTCCAACAATGAATATGGATTGGTTTTATAATAATTAATATAAAAAATCACTTCTGTTATAACTGCTGGACACAGATCAGTTTTGTGGACAAAAGAGGGATTGTGCCCATTGCTATTCAGCTTTGTCTTATACTCTGCTTAGAGTAGCTGAAATTTCAAGATAAGGCCGCAAAAGGAAAACATGCAGTTCAGAGAACTATGCTCTGCAGAGATGAAGTCCTGGATCTTAGAAATATTGTCTTACTACCACCCAATTTCCAGGAAATGAAACCTTCCTGCCCAGTTGAGTTGTTTGGGATGACTTCAGCAAAGTGGGTTGTTACATCTACTCTTCAGATAAAAATGTCTTAATTTTCAATCAGGTTTCCATTTTAAATTAGTCTTGCTACAGAAATTGTCCATTTGTTCACATCTACCTTCCCCCTTCTTTCCCACTGATCATCCTTCCTTATAACAGCCTCTTCCCCTGACTTTACAACGCAAACACAAACACACAACATACACACGTCTCCCTTCCCCTTTCATGGATAGATCTATGTATCTATCTGTCTATCTGTCTGTCTGTCCGTCTGTCCGTCCATCTGTCCGTCCGTCCGTCCATGCATCCATCCATCTATCTATCTATAAGTTGCTTCAAAGTCCTTTTGGAAACATGGCATTTCACAGAGCAGGAGAGCACTGAAGTAGGAGTCAGATCATACACGCCTATGAGCTAAGGAGATACCAGGTCATGTTGATTATTATCAGTTAGGCACTTCCTTGGAGACAGAGGTCACTTCCAGTGGCCTGCTTTCCAGGAGTCTTGGGTGGAGGCATGGTCTTACTGGGAGAAAGCCGCAGAACTAGATATGTGGCAAAGATAGCCAAGTTAGAAACAAAAGCACCCATTAGCCAGCCACCCCGGTCGTGTCCAAACCATGTCCATAATTTATGTCAACTCACACCTCAGGTTGCCTGATGATTGAATTCTAGATGACACTGAGAAGGCACTTCTAGATCCTTTGTGGATATGAACAAAATGGGCTTTTGAAAACGTGCCAAGACCAGAAACTCTTGAAGGAAAACAACACATGGAAATTTTTTTTAAAGGAAAAAGAAAAAGGCAATTTGGCATCTATTCATAGAGAATGGGATAGATTTAATTAAAAGGGGAAACCCCCAACTCCATCTGGTTCTCTCCATGTTGGCACTGCGGAGGGATATTGGAAGAAGAGCTAGGGATTATTTCTTGGCTTTTGTGGTTTTCCTCCTCAGGGGTCAAATATAAAATCCAAACCGACCTTTGTTTTGGAAATGGTAAACTGGACACTGTTGGCTTCCTGACTGTTTACGCTCTCTTGAGTCACCTCCATAATGGAGTGACCAGCTCTCACTGGCTTCTTGGAAATATACTGTTCTTCTGTTTTTTACAGTGACAATGAATCCTAAAAGTGAATGGTGCTAATGTTTTCCAAGAGAAGCAGCCCTAGAGGGAGCCTACTGGGCCTGCCAACAGAGGATGAAGAGGATACAAATTTAATGAATTTTAAATCAACACAAACACCAAGAATCTTTTGCTGTTTCTTCCAACACCCACTCTTCCTAACGATGGCATCACCTGTACTTGGAAGAAGGAGCCATTGAGAAGCACTAGGAAAAGGCCTGGCAGACATCCATCACTGAGGGTGGAGGAGCCCTATGATGTATTCACCTCTAATCAACGGGTGTTCCCACCTCTCAGCCAACCTCTAGCTGACTGGACTCACTCTGGCCATACTCTCTAAGTCCTTGTTACCTTTCTGCTTCATTCCTTAGGGTTTAAATCAGGAAGCTGTCTTATCTATGGTTTCCTTCTGGGTCACCTTGTTACCTAACTAGCTTTGGATTATTTCCTAGGATTTAGTCAAGTCCTCTGCTAGGTCAATTACCTTAAGCAGGAACTTTTCTCAAGGCAAGTTATGGCATGGAAAAGACAGCCAACAAAGCGAGTGTCTCACTGTATACACCATCCCAGGGGCTTGGTAAGTTCATTTCTGCCTGCCAAGGAGACACAGTGGGAGAGTTCACAGTCCTGAGGAGAGGTGTTTTGTCACTTGTGGACACTGAGTTGCCCAGATCCAGTCACGCTTGGGAACTTCTCGGAGAAATGGGAATCCTCAATGAAAGTGCAAATGTTTTCATTTTCAGCTAAAATCACCTACTTTTTCATGTTTCCCCAAAGCTCATTCTTGTTCTCACCACACCTCCCTTGCATGTGATATGTGGGGAGGGAGTGTGTGCAGGTGGGGGTCATCTGTCACCCTTTATGTCTCTGAGATCACAGTCGTTTGAAACAAACTGAATAGGAATAGGAAATATCTGTGCCTGTGGCAGACATCACTCACCTCACTCAACATTCTTTCCTGCCCAGCTGGGACAAGCCTCCAGGCCTTCTCAACACAGCGCTCCAGGAGGTCATTGTCCTTCCGTCAGAGATGACATTCTATGTGATATTTGTTGACATCCTCATCCTAGAAGCAACAGTGCAAAATGCAGAAGGGCCTGTTTATCACTCCCACTCACGTAAAATCAATCTCCATTTAATTCTTAGTTTTCTAATTCTGACCTTTAAAGCAATCTAGCAAATTGGGAGTTCTGAGCTCTTCAACGACACCTGATATTTTATTCCAGGAAAGAAACAAAGAATAAAAACTTTACTTATTTTATTCCCCATGTATAAACTGAGGGCAGATGAGATTTGCCAAACATTTGCTGCTGAATTTGGGGGTCTTGTGTTTGAAAGGTTGCCTTAATGCATAACAAAAACTGCCCCTCTCCTCCCTTTCAGAATCCCTTTAACAAGCACTTGCCTTCTGAACTATGTCCATTATTTTAAAGGCAGAGTTCCAAGCCAGGGAGGTCTTTCCACGCAATGAAAGATAGAATTATCTAGTTGTGTTTAACTACTGCTATTATACCATCCTGGGACTGCAGAGAGCTTTGGCAAAAGACGGTCTTCATGGTATATAACTTCAACAGATTTGTCTGTCCGATTCTCGTTAGCACACCCTAATATGGCATTTTTGTTTTCACTGCTGTTCTGCGTATTCGTGTTCTACTTATGGTCCACAGTGACTCTCCAATATTTATGCCAAAATTGCCATTTTCTGATTCATCATTTGTGCCTAATTTGTTACTCTAAGTTTGTTTCTCATCAACATTTTCGCTGTCAGAAGTGTCTCAGTTTGCTTCTTTCTCTCTCCAGGTATCTAAGATGTTTGCTGAACACTTAGGTCTATAGGCTTCATCCAACCCTATCAAATAATGAACTTTAGAAGCTTAGAGAAGTATAAGGGGTCTTGGAATCTCACTTTGATGAAGCAGTATTTTATGATATGATGAAAATATTTTCATTCAGTATTTAAAATAAATCAAATACCAGAAGAAGCAAGCTTCAGCAACACGTCATTGAGTTTATATCTGAAAAATACACTAACTTCTATAATTGCACAGTGGACAAGGCACTTTTTAAAAAGATCGTTTATTCTGGCAAGATATATGAAGTTAGTATGGGGTCAAAACAGTCAAGGGTCAGTTCTAGCATCCTGTATCTTTTTGTTACTGTCCAATCAATAGGCATCATAGATTGATGATAATTTGAAGAATTGTTTTTAAACCCAAGCTTAATTTTCTGTTTCAGATTATTATTAGTAAAAATCTTAACTTTACTTAATTGTGTAGCCAATCAGAGCAAAATCTGACTTTAGAATATTTTAAAGATGGATAAGTTTTATTACATTTTTGTACATTTTATGCAAACTAGGTTAACAACATTGCCTAGTTGAACTCCTCAGGAAACTTGTTTTAATAAAAATGTAAAAATATCAATCTTAACTCAGTTATGTGACTCCTTTCTCTGGGAAGGTCATTGTTATTCAAATACAAGCACACAGCCTGGATCAACCTTGATCTCCACGGGGTGACAGATGCTTTTGCTGATCACCTTCATAGCTCTAACAACGTAAATGCGTGCTTTAAAAAATATCTTTGTCTATTCTTTTATTTTGGTTGTTTATTTTTTTTAAACAATTTTTATTTATTTTTTTCCCCCAAAGCCCCAGTAGATAGTTGTATGTCATAGTTGCACATCCTTCCAGTTGCTGTATGTGGGACGCCACCTTAGCATGGTCGGAGAAGCGGTGTGTCGGTGCGCGCCCAGGATCTGAACCCCGGGCCGCCAGCAGCAGAGCGTGCGCACTTAACCCCTAAGCCATGGGGCTGGCCATTTTTTTTTTTTTTTGTGAGAAGATCAGCCCTGTGCTAACATCTGCCAATCCTCCTCTTCTTTTGCTGAGGAAGACTGGCCCTGGGCTAACATCTGTGCCCATCTTCCTCTACTTTATATGGGACGCCGCCACAGCATGGCTTGACAAGCAGTGCATTGGTGCACGCCCGGGATCCGAACCCGTGAACCCCAGGCAGCCACAACAGAGCGCGCGCACTTAACCGCTTGCGCCACCAGGCTGGCCCCTTGGTTGTTTAAACTACCAATTTCTATCATCTTTAGAAGAAGGCCCTTATATTGAGTAAACATAAAATGTAGACTTTAGTTTCAACTTCTGTCAGAATGAGTACAAATTCTGAAGAAAGAGAAATGATAAGACATGGTTTCACACTGGGAAGACTGCTGACATTCTCATTGCAGGGAAAACATTGACGTTTTCTACTAAATTAAATGTACACGTGCTACTTTTTCACTCTCAGAAGGCACTCAGGATGAATTCTGGGGTTTCCATTATAACAGGCAGTCTGGAGCTGCTTCACTCATAGGGTACATTTCTTTGATCTTACAATAACCAGAAGAGTCACTGTATGTTAATGTGGAGTGGAATTAGTCAAGTTGGTTATTAACAACTGCAAAATTCAAACAACCCATTGCCTGAATTATTTATTTTTTGAGCATCTCTTTGACGTTGATACTGTCTCATCTGGCACCAACATTTTATTTTCCTCTTATTCCTTTTCCTTTTATTTTCCTCTTTTCCCTTTATTTTCCTTCTTCCTTTGGGGATGGTTATTTGTAGATACCTGGCGGGATTTTTTGGTTTGTCTTATTTGTTGCCCTCTTACCTTTTCTGAATAATATGTCATGTTCATGAGCTAGGAATCCATATAATTATATAAAATAAAACTTTTTTTATCAACTCTAGAGATGCTCTAAGCTCTTTTTGAAATGATATTTTAGGAAGTTCAATTCCTAAACCAAAGTGCTTGCAGTAACATGAAGACTTTCATTTCAGTGCTGTAAAAGATTAGAAATATAGTGTTGACCTATCTAAGACAACCAAAGGTGGAGGCGTTCTTCCTACAGTTAGACTTCAGGTGCAGAGGGCTCAGGTAATCATACTCCTCAGTTCATGTCACGTTATCATCACTGGCCTTTAGTACTTTATAAATAAGTAATTGGACTTTTTACAAAAAGCGTATTCTTCACATTTTTCACTTTTTTGGTCTGCATGGAAAGGATTAAATGAATGATATGTAGATACAAAATACAGTAAGCAACATTTTTTCCAGTGTAAAGATCAGTTGAGAGTAATCACTGTATTACACTGACTTAGGTGAAACCCCCTGAAATTATAAATAATATCAGAAATATATGAAAAGTCTGCAGGTTTAATAAATGCCAGTTTTCAAAAAGAGCAAGGATTGTAGTTATTCAAGAAGTTAAACAATAATCTGGTAGATCAGTCATAATTTAGTATGTGTGTATCTTGCTTTTCAAGTTAGGTAAGAATAATGTAAAAAAAAAAAGTACTTTATTAGAATCTCTCATATTACAAGCAGTGAAAAGTGTTTCCTGAGGAAGTCAGTAAGATCATCAGATGTCATGTTTATCTCTGGGCTTTCGTCCCAGCAACATATAAATTCTATCTTGTAAGCTTCTTGTGAGAAATGGTTCCATTGCTACTGATTAGAACTGATTTGAAAAACTATCAAAGTTTTAAGACTAACTGAAGGTTTTAGTTTTTTTCTCCTACCTTGCATGCTGATAATAATATATATAATAATATTTTTCCTTTATGACTTATGGCTTTATAAATGTCAGGTATGCATGTATGTATGTATAAACTATTCTGTTCTCAGCTGCATGGTTTTTATAAAAATAAGTAAGTACATACATGTTTCTATGCTAAATTGGTCATTCAGCAGTGATAAACTGAAAAACGTTTCTAAATTTAATTGAAAAATAAAGCACTATAAGATAGGAGGAAAGAATATTTTCTGCATTAGTTTCTACATAATTAATCTATATCAATATTTAGAATAAAGGTTTATTTGAAGGTAAGATATATGTTTACTAAAATGTTGATTACTAAAAGTAGTGAATTATGCATCTTTCTAAAGGAAAATTCTTTTATTTATTTATTTATTTTTTTGTGAGGAAGGTCAGCCCTGAGCTAACATCCATGCCAATCCTCTTCCATTTGCTGAGGAAGACTGGCCCTGGGCTAACATCCATACCCATCTTCCTCCACTTTATGTGGGATGCCGCCACAGCATGGCCTGACAAGCGGTGTGTCGGTACGCTCCCAGGATCTGGACCCGGGCTGCCAGCAGCAGCGCATGCGCACTTAACCACTATGCCCCGGGGGCTGGCCCCAGGAAAATACTTTTAACTTAACTTCTATGACTATGAAAAAGAAGGATTATTACCTTCATAATTGTACTCTTTTGATCCATAAACCTCTTTAAATAAATGAAGCAATACCAATTCAAAAATTCTTATAGAATTGAACTTGCTTCATACACAATTGTCTAGACTGAAAATTAATGGATTTTCTGTGTATCTAAAAGATATTATTAAACATTCTTGTCTTTTTTCCTCCTTACAAAATATTTTTAAATTGAGGAGTAAAATTTTAATTGTTTCTGGGAAGGTAAATTTTTCTTGTTTTTTGCTGAGGAAGATTGGCCCTAAGCGAACATCTGTTGCCAATCTTCCTCTTTTTGCTTGAGGAATATTCACCCTGAGCTAACATCCGTGCCCGTCTTCCTCTATTTTGTATGTAGGCTGCCACAGCATGGCCACCAGTGAGTGGTGTAGGTCTGCACCCAGGAACCGAACCTGGGCCACTGAAGTGGAGCACACCAAACTTAACCACTAGGCCATGGGGCCCTATGGGAATGTAATTTTTAAAAATATTTTTAGTAAAAATGGAAAAGTCTTAGAGATAAAACAGTCTCTTTTTCCTGATTACTCACTTTTCTTCATGGCTTTAATTCTAATCTGATTTTCCACA